CAGGGGGGGGGGGGTCAGGAAAAGGACACCCCCCCCCATCAAAAAACCAGCAGAATCTGGGATGGAGGCATAGCTTTGGGCAGCAGGCACTGCTCTGGGATGTCCCCCCCACCGCAAGGCTCGGTGCTCCCCCAGGAAGGATCGCTGCAGCATTGCCAGTTGGGGGGGGCGGGGGGGGTGTCGCAGTGCCTGTTTGCCACCTTGCTGCCCAGAATTTTAACTCTCCCAGCTCCGCCCAGTTCGGCCTCCCCCACTGGTGCCCCAGGGGAGGCAGGTGGAGGTGGCGGCAGCATTGAAGCAGCCGCCACCTAAGGCGAAATCTGCCGCCCTTAGAAAGGGACCAGTGAGGATCGGGGGCGTGATGGGGGGCGGGGGGCAAAGGAGCCCCCCGGGAGGGAAGTTCCTTGAGGGGAGGCTGACTGGGCTTCTGGTTCTTTGTGCAGTGAAACTCTTTGAGGTGATTGAGACGGAGAAGACCCTCTACCTGGTGATGGAGTATGCCAGTGCCGGTACGCCTTGCCTGCCCTCCCCAGGTGCCAAGGGCCAGCCCGCTCTGGCTGCCTCCCTCTCCTGTGCTGCCCCCCCCCCCCCCCCCGGCCCCCCGGCGCCCTTCCGCCGCCCCGCAGCCGCAGGGGGGCCGCGTCGGGGGGGCTCGGGCAGCCCCCCCCCCCCCAAGGCAAAGGGCAGCACCGCGGTGAAGGACTCACAGGCTGGCATTGTCTGCTACTTAAAGCAAGTTTGATTTCCCTGTAGCTGCTAAAATTAACCCTCCACTCAGTTCAAGGTATCTGCAGCCCCCAGCCCCTCACAGGAGCTGCCTACCTGGCCCCCAGGCCGGTTCTGGGTGGAACATTCGTTGAAGGGAACATTTGTAGCTCAGGGTTGAGGTGAGGGGTCTTTGGGGGTCTCGGAGCTGCGTTGTTTTCTTGCAGAATTTCATGACCCAACTGGGTAACATCGTCGGGGTCATTGGGGAGTGGGCTTTGCGGAGGAAAAGGGGAGGAAGAGGAGAAAGATTCTAGGGTCCCTGGTGGTTTTCTTGCAGACATTTCATGACCAAACTAGGGAACATCATCAGGGCACTCTGAGGTTGGCTGTTCCCTAGTTTGGTCATGAAATATCTGCAAGAAAGCCCCCAGGTTCAGAGAGCACCAAGGACCCCACAGACAGTGCAACCTGGGGGAGGGGTTCTCTCCCCTTGGGGGGTCAGCATGTCCCCCCCCGGACAGTCTCTCACCTGGACTGCTGTCTACGGGTGACCGAATTCTGCATTTGGAGGCGGCGTAAACACGCTCATCCGACGGGCATTTCCTCCCTGAGCTCCGGCTGTCCCTGCATGATCCCCGTTTGTGCTGACAAGCGGAGGAATTTCCGTGCTCTCTCGGGCCAACTGGCACCTGCCCACCCCCATTACCTGAGCCAGCTCTTCCCAGCAGAGCTCCAGGAACAGCTGCACGGGCACCCTGCCCGTCCCTGGCACCGATAGCCCCGGGTTCAAATGCCCATGCCCCCCCCACCCCCTTCACGGTTTCTTCACTTCACTCTTTGCTGTTTCTAGCCCCGGCATCCAGGCTGGCCTCCCTCACCTGTCCTTCCTCTCTTCGTGCAGGAGAAGTTTTCGATTACCTGGTCTCCCATGGCCGCATGAAGGAGAAAGAAGCCCGGGCCAAGTTCAGACAGGTGGGGCCTCAGGACGTCCCCAAGAAGGCCCGCTCTTTGGGCTCCGGCCAGGGTGCCCGTAGGGCCTGGCTGGATGGGCCAACAAGGGGGGCGCATTTCTGGCTGCCTGGCAGAGTCCGCTTGGGTGCCTTCAACTTGCTGGGCAAATGGGCTCCTCTGGCATGAGGGCGGCGGGCAGGGGGTTAAGAGAGACTCCCTCCTCCACTGGGTCCTAAGCTGGCCGAGGAGTCCCGTCTGCAGGGCACAATAGGGACCGGCTCCTTGGCTTTGCTTGGAGGGGGGCTGGGGAGGGTCTTGCACATGAGCCAGGATCCCCCCTTTCCACCCCTAGATCGTCTCGGCTGTGCATTATTGTCACCAGAAGAACATCGTACACAGAGACCTGAAGGTGAGGCGCCCCCGCCCCCAATTCCCGCCCTTGTATGGGAGGCAATGGTCCAGCCTCCCTGGGGCAGCCCCAAAGCTTACACCGGTGGCTGGATTTTGTGAGCCTCAGTGCTTCCACCTATCAAATGGGGAGAGTTGATGCGAGTTCACCAGAAGAGCCAGAAGAATCACAGAAGCTGGATGTTGGGCAGCTCCTCCGTCCGGCATTTCGTTGGTCGTTAGACTTTGGATGCAGATCCCTAAATGTTTGTTGGGCCTGAGGGCTCCCGCAAAACCTTAACCCCCCCCCCCTTTCTCTCCCTCAGGCAGAAAACCTGTTGCTGGACGCGGACGCCAACATTAAGATAGCCGACTTTGGCTTCAGCAACGAATTCACGCTGGGCTCCAAGCTGGACACCTTCTGCGGCAGCCCCCCCTATGCCGCCCCGGAGCTCTTCCAGGGCAAGAAGTACGACGGGCCCGAGGTGGACATCTGGAGCCTCGGGGTCATCCTGTACACCCTGGTCAGCGGCTCTCTGCCCTTCGATGGGCAGAACCTCAAGGTGAGGCTGTGGGGCAGAAGGTTTGGGGTGCAGAGGGTGGGCAGGGCGGGGGTCCCGGGTGCAAAGAGGGAAGTGGGAGGTCAGCCTCTGCTGTGGAATCCTCCTTGCAAAGGGGGGGGGG